CCTCCGGGTGTGCATGTGGGCAGCCAGCCTGAGGGCAGCCTGGGCCCAGGGCTGGGAGGTGAACGGACGGGCACGGCTGGTCTGTGCCCCACGACTCCTCAGGTAGCTGGTTCCAGCGAGGAGAGGAGCTGCCTGCCCTTCCTCACGCGCACACGTGTGCTGCTCTGGCCAACCTGATGCTTTTCTGCCGCAGGTTTGAAGTCGTCGGCTATGGCTGCTCGACGTGCGTGGGGAACACAGGGCCCCTGTCAGACGCCGTTCTGAGCGCAGTGAAACAGGTAACGGCTCGCGAGGCGGCCGCACGCTGCCCCTGTACTGGGCTTGGTCATTCAGTTACAGGAAGTGTACGCTGATGTGCTTATGTTTCTCCAGTCCTCACACCGTCCGTCTTCAAATAATTAGAATCGTGTTTTGATTCTCGAAATAATTTCTTTAAAATGTAAGGAGTTATTTTAGCTTATTTGTGCTTCATAATGGGAAATGTGCTTTTTGGTTATCTTGCCCTAAGAATGTCATATTTGCGGTTGCTTTATGATTCTCCAAATTCGTACCATCTCTTGAACTGACTAGATCTGTGTGTGTGTTTCAGGGTGACCTGGTTACCTGTGGAGTTCTGTCTGGAAACAAAAATTTTGAGGGCCGTCTTTGTGACTGTGTCCGAGCCACTTACCTTGCCTCTCCGCCCCTGGTGGTCGCGTACGCCATCGCCGGCACCGTGAACATAGACTTCCAGACAGAGCCCCTCGGTACGTCCGTGTCATGTGCTCACACCGTCCGTTCTGTGGATTATTCCAGGGACTTGTCCCACAGGCATAGTGATGAATTTCTGCATTAAAGGAAGAGTAGAGAATGTGCAAGTCATCCGTTCTTCCAGCGGCTGAAGCCGGAGCACTGGTTGTTGATGATGCACTTGGTTCTCTGGTGTGACTCTGGAACTGTCTCGAGGGAGTTACATTTTGTATTAATTTTTTACAGGCACTGACCCCGCCGGCAAGGACATCTACCTGCAGGACATCTGGCCGAGCCGAGAGGAGGTCCAGCAGGTGGAGGAGGAGCAGGTCCTGTGCTCCGTGTTCAAGGCGCTGAAGGAGAAGATGGAGGTCAGAGCCCCTGGGCTTCCTGGTGGCTCACCGCGTGGCCGTGTTGGCGTCACTCGTTCTCTCTGAAGGGAGAGGCGTTGAAGTGACGCGGTTTGCATGCGCAGTGTGAATGCGTGAGGGTCTGGACTCTGATATCTAAGAGAGCAGCTGGGAGGACTAGAGCTTGTGTTGTTGCTCACGGAAGTGTAGCAGCTGGCGGGGCTCAGCGGTTGAGCATCGGCCCAGAGGCCAGGAGGTCACTGGGTGGTTCCTGGTCAGGGCCATGCTGGGTGGCTCGATCCCCAGTGTGGAGGGTGCAGGGATTGAGTGCAAACAATGAGATCTCCCACTCACTCTCCTTAGAGGTATCAGATTCCTAAGCATCTTCCAGAGGTTTTTTTTTTTTTTTGCACACACAAGCATAAAACAATATAAATACAAGTCAGAAAAGGCATTTATTCACTTAAATGTTTATTGAGCACCTACTCTGTGGTTAGCATGTGTCTGTGAACAAAACAATTCTCATGGGGAGAGAGACAGTGAGTAGTGCACAGAACGATTAGGTAAGTTACACAGTGTATTAAAAAGGGAGCCACGCTCTGGAAAAATACAGATAAAAAATACAGGACAGAGGACCAGTTGTGCAAAATGTGGGCGTGAGCTGCAGTTTGTGTGGGAGGGTTGAGCGCAGGTTAAAGAGGCGAACAGGTCAGTCACATACCTGGGCCGAGAGCGAGGCTTCCCCGGCCTCAGGAGGGGACCTCGAGGAGGCTGCTGGCTCCACAGGACGGGCGGGCGGCGGGAGGACGTGAGGCAGCCAGGGAGGGGCCGGCGTGTGGGTCGTTGGTTGGAGCTGCTGTAACTGTGGTCGTTGCTCTGAGTGGAGTGAGGGGCGTGGTGTCATCAGAGGGCTGGCTCTGGGGGGG